GGAGACAGTGAGAGGAAACAGACAAAGGGAGGCGGATGTGGAAAGTAATCAGCATAACAAGAGTGCAATATGTAATATCTGGGTGCACGTTAGATATTGCAGCCTGAGCTGGGTTGAAGTCACTCACGCTGTATGTCCAGCATTGAGAGTTTTTTGTTGGGTCAATGTTCCTTCATCCAGAGTCTTCGGATCACCGAAGATTAAAGTACGACTGACAGTACAATTTAATAACAATCTTTGCATTTGATACAGCGCCTGATCACGTCTTCGAGACGTCTCGAAGCGCTTCACAGGATACTCTGTAAAGTGAATTGGTTGTGTATTTTGTGGGCAGCCAATTGCGCACAGCAGCGTCCCCACAAACAGTCGTGGATTGAGTGACCAAATTTTTTATGCTTGTATTTATTTGAATTTAGATTTTCACAGCGCCTTTCATGCCGGGAAGGACGTCTCAAAGCTCTTAATAACGCTGGGGGCGTGCGAGCCAAAGAGAGAGGAGCAGAGTTTACGATTTCAGAGTTTAAAAGAAGTTTTGAAATAAACTAATACCAGAAATAACAGACGAAGATTCAATAATAATAATCATAATAATAATAATCCTTGCTTTTGATCGAGTGCCTTATCGTGCTTTCCAAATGCCTCAAAGCACTTCACAGAAGATACTGTAAAGTGAATTATGGACCGTGTATTTTGTGGGCGACTTGAGTTCAGGTTAAGTGCTGTACATCAGATCACATAGAGACAGCACTGGGATCTGCACAGATTAAGAGGCTTCACAGAAGTGGGAGTCTTAGTGGCACTGAATGAAATGTGTGTAAAGAGGGAGAGGGTTTGATCCAGCTGCAAGGTGATAATTATTATCAGAGCCGAGAGAGCACTCAGGTTAACAAGGATGATAGGCAAGTAGAGATTGGACAGGCCCAGGGTTGCACACTCTGATAATCAATAGCAAGATGCCCAGGGCTCTCCATTGTTCAGTTTATACACTACACACTGCACTAATAATATACTGCACTAATAATAATAATCCTTTGCATTTGTTATAGCCCCTTATCACCTCAAAATGCCTCCGAGTGCTTCACAGAGATTTTCCATGAAGTGTATTCTGTAGACAAACACAGTGGCCAGTTTGAGCACAGCAGCGTCCCACAAACCGCCTGATTCATACTATAGGAAGTCTGTGTATTGAGGATACATTAATAATGATAATAATCCTTGCATTTGATATAGCGCCTTATCACGTTGTCGAGACGTCTCAAAGCGCTTCAATGGATATACTGTAAAGTGGATTGTCAAACTTCACGTACGCTGCTCATAGGAAAGGTGTCTCATTCTCGGTCGCACCTGTTAAATGGCAGCTCGGGCTTCCATCAGGTTATGGCCTCAGTTGGTGGTTGAATTGGCGCTGTTGGTGGCAGTGCCCTCATCTGTTACCTCGTGGACCCAACTGTGCCAAATGCCAAGACACGGAATGCATGTCAAAAGTGGGCTCGCTGCCAAAACAAGCAGCGGTGACTGCGAACAGCAAACAGACTGTGCCATCACCACAGGATAGCAAGGCTGAGCGCGGGTCAGTTGTCAGCCTGGATCATGTATCGGGGCTAACAACACTTAGACAAGACTTATGCACGGAGTTGGCTAATGATCTACGTCTTACATTCAATCATACCATTTCAGCAATTCTCATTACCACTTCTAATAAAATAATAACCCTTCCGTTTGACTCAGCGCCTTTTCACGCTGTCTGGATGTCTCAAAGCGCTTCACAGGATATATTGTAAAGTGTAGCGACGGTGTATTTTGTGGGCGAAACCCGGCAGCCAATTGTGCCGAGCGCCGTCCCACAAACAGTCGTGGATTGAGCGACCAAATTATTATCAATTATTACTTTTACAACAACAGCTCCATCTTTTTGATCAGTGAATGGAACTCTCAAGCTGCTGTGTAAATGCAACTTGCCGTTGTTGTCAGTGCATTCCAGATTTTCTCTGGCTGAAATCGAGTGTTGTTTGCTTTGTGCTCAGATTGAGATGGCTGCAGTGTAATATTTGGAGTAGATATGGGCGCTGTCTGTACTATCAAGCTATCCCAGATAACCTGAGTCAGTGCTCCCTGTCACTGTGTAAATGTGGCTTATTTACTGAATCCTTAGAAGAACACTCTCTGCTTCCCATGCAGTGAGTCAGGCTGTACTCCGTGCTAACCCTCCACTCCCTGCTCTCACCTTGCTATTGCTTATTGTAAGTACCACAATAAGCAAGTCCTGTGCTGCTCTGGCTATACATTGTCAGCGATGAGGTTTAATCCATCCCTCCGATGAGACGTTAAACCAAGGTCCCATCTGCCTGTTCAGGTGGACGTTAAAGTTCCCATGGCACCATTCGAAAAGAGAAGGGAGTTTCTCTCTCTCTCTCTCTCTCCCGGTGTCCCGGCCAACAATCCTCCAGATTAAATTGGTCACTTCAATCCACGACTGTTTGTGGGACACTGTCGCGCGCAATTGGCTGCCGCATTTCATCCACAAAATACACAGTTACTCCAATTGACAGTACATCCCGTGAAGCACTTTGAGACGTCTCGATGATGTGAAAAGGCGCCGTATGAAATGCAAGGATTATTATTATTGTTGTTAATAATATTATAGTTTATTTATGTGGCTGTATAACATCTAAATTACAATATAATAGTGATGAATATCTTCGGATTGAAAGAAAAAAAATGACAGCATTTGGTTTTACAGTAAGTCCAAACCAAACTGCGAATTCCATGCACCCCACCCACCCACACATAAAGGAAGCTGAGATCCATTTAATAATAATATATATTTAAAAATATGTAGTCCTTTCATTTCATTCGATTGTTTTATTGTCGGCATTAGATTGGAATTATTACCACAGAAAATACACATTGAATTATCTGGGGGCTCCATTAGACTAATCTCTCTCTCTCTCTTTCCGCTGCCTAGCAATCCAGTCAAGTTTCTATTCAGGGGAAGGTCTTAAGAGAATATTTTAAATATATATAAATATTCAGCTCCTATCTTTATTGTTGTGTAATGACAGGTTGCTTTACAGCATGTCCCAGAGCTGAATGAGGGATCGCACACTCACACTGACCAGCATCAATACTCCCAGCCATAGAGACAATTTAGTGAGCAGTTTATTCACACGAAAGGGCTGGGGTGCCTCTATCACTCCCTCCCTCCCTCTCTCCCTCTCTCCCTCCCTCCCTCGTAACCTGCATATATAGCAATTTGAGACATCTCGAAGACATGATAAGGCGCTATATCAAATACAAGATTATTATTATTGTTACCTACATATCTCCCTCCCTGTCTGTCTGTGGAACCCTCCCTCACCCCCACACACACACCATTCTCTCTCCCTCCCCATCTATCTATCTATCTATCTATCTATCTATCTATCTATCTATCTATCTATCTATCTATCTATCTATCTATCTATCTATCTATCTATCTATCTATCTATCTATCTATCTATCTATCTATCTATCTATCTATCTATCTATCTATCTATCTATCTATCTATCTATCTATCTATCTATCTATCTATCTATCTATCTATCTCTCTCTCTCTCTCTCTCTCTCTCTCTCTCTCTCTCTCTCCTCTCTCTCTCTCACACACACACACACAGAGAGAAAGGCAGTGCATTATCATATACCATTCACCTCCCTGACTGCTATGTCCCACAACCTGACTATCCAATGCGCAAAAACGCTCAATGGAAGGAGAGCTGTCAACACATAGCCTGGATTTCAGCGACTCATTTTATTTAGCCACATTCAATAGCCACCCACCAACCCCCACCCCCTCCCCACTTCTCTCCCTCTCCCTCATTCTCTCTCTCTCTCTGTGAGGTTTTAACACAAGGCATCCTTCATCCCAATGGGAGTGAGTGAGAGAGAGAGAGAGAGAGAGAGACGAGCGTCGCCAGAGGATGGATTATGTCAGGGGAAAAGGCTCTGATAAATTGAGGGTTTGATTCTAGTTTAAAAAAAAACTATTTTTTTTCATACTTGGTTGTATGGGAAAAAAAAGTCACACTGCCAGATCATTTCAGTAATGTTTCGCCCTCCCCAGCCCAGCCCAGAATATTCTTCGTCCACTCAAAGACTTAATCAGCCTCCAAGTTGGCAGATAGCAGTCAGTATAACGTGATAAACGCTCATCACTCGCATGTCCTTGTCCAGAGAAGGTGAGAGAGAGAGAGTGTGTGTTAATGAAAGAGAGAGTGAAAGAGTGAGTGAGAGAAAGTGAATGAGACGGTGTGAGTGCATGAGAGAGTGAATGAGAGAAGAGTGAGTGAGTGAGTGAATGAGACAGTCTGAGTGAATGAGAGAGTGAATGAAAGAGAGAGAATAACAGTGAGAGAGAGAGAGTGAATGAGTGAGTGAGTGAGACAGTGAATGAGACAGTCTGAGTGAATGAGAGTGAATGAAAGTGAGAGAGAGAATAACAGTGAGAGAGAGTGAATGAGTGAGAGAGTGAATGAGAGAGAGAGAGTGTGTGTGTGTGTGTGTAAAAGGTATGTGTGTGTCTCACACTACACCAGCGAACACGCCCAAACAGATTAGATAGATAGGAACTTGGGTGAGGGAGACACACACACACAGAGGGAGAAAGAGAGAGAGAGAGAGAGAGAGCATTGTGTTGAATGACTGTGCTTTAAAATAAGGACAGTTTCCCCCTTATTTGCAAACCTTTGCAAAGTGTCTGTGTGAGTGAGTGAGTGGTGAGTGAGTGTGAGTGTGTGTGACACGCATACCGATGATGGTTAATCTGTGAGAGAGAGAGAGAGTGTGTGTGTGTGTGTGTGTGGCTTTTATCGATTCAGTTTGGGATATTTTTTTGACAATATAACAAGTGGGATCTCTCTCTCTTTCTCTCTCTCTCTCTCTCACACACACACAAACACACACAAGAGGGGGGAGTGTTGGTGTGTTGGTGTGTTTGTTTTTGCCTGGGGAGGGAGGGAGCAAAGAAACATCAACCCACAGACAGACAGACACACAGACAGACAGACACATCCATCCATACGTGCGAGAGGAAGAGGATTGCATCCTTCACACTGAAAGTGGCGACAGGATGAACCGAAAAAACAGACGATGGCTGTTCCACATTTTTCTCTGCGTGGGAATCGTTTACCTAAAGATAGGGTAAGTGTGAGAGAGAGAGGGAGACTTTGTTGGAGACACTCTGTGTGGTTCCCATCTCTGTCTCCGTCTCTGTCCTCCTATTCTCTGCGCTGTGATATAACAACGCTTTACTTCGCGCAATTGTGAGGGTTTGATTCACAGAGAGACAGAGAGAGGGAGAGGGATAGAGACAGAGAGGGAGAGATAGAGAGGCATTGGGGAGACGGGGAGAGGGACAGGGTGAGACACACAGAGACAGAGAGGGGGACAGGGTGAGACACACAGAGATAGAGAGAGACACAGAGAGAGGGACAGAGAGAGAGACACAGAGAGAGGGACAGAGAGAAAGACATAGAGAGAGGGGACACAGAGAGAGGGACAGAGAGAGAGACACAGAGAGAGGGACGGGGTGAGACACACAGAGATACACAGAGACAGAGAGAGACACACAGAGAGAGGGACTAGAGAGAGGGACAGAGAGAGAGAGACACAGAGAGAGGCACAGAGAGACGGACGGGGTGAGACACACAGATACACAGAGAGAGGGACAAATAGAGAGACACAGAGACAGGGACACAGAGAGACAGAGAGAGACATGGAGAGACATGGGGGAGACAGAGAGAGGGACAGGGTGAGACACACAGAGACAGAGGGAGTGACACAGGGAGAGAGATAGTGACACAGAGAGACACACAGAGAGTTCTGTACACCTCCACACCGACATAGAGAGAGAGAGAGACAGGAGACAGACAGACAGACAGACAAAGGCTTATAAATGTGTCCAATCCCACAAATTAATGTTATATATTAAGCACTGATTCGCCTCGTGGTTTGATGTGATTGTGGAGCTGTCTGTATCCCTCTCCCACATGTGCCCCAGAAACCCGCTTCCCTCCCGGGGGTGTGTGTGTGTGTGAGAGCGGAGTGTGGGGTTAAGGCAGAGAGAGAAAGAGGCGAAAACGCTGTCACTTTGTGTCCTGGTCTCCCCCACACCGACTGACCTGTCCCCCAGAGACACACACACACACAGAGACACAGACACACAGAGAGACACACAGACACACAGAGAGAGACACAGACACACAGAGAGAGACACAGACACACAGAGAGAGAGACACAGACACACAGAGAGAGACACACACAGACACACAGAGAGAGACACAGACACACAGAGAGAGACACAGACACACAGAGAGACACAGACACAGAGAGAGAGAGACACACAGACACACAGAGAGAGACAAAAGAGAAATACAGAGAAGGACAGAGACATAGGCAGACAGACACACACACACACAGACAGACACACACAGACAGACACACACACAGACAGACACACACACACAGATAGACACACACAGACAGACAGACAGACAGACAGACAGACAGACAGACAGACACACAGACACACAGACAGACACAGACAGACAGACATACACACACAGACAGACACACACACAGACAGACACACACGTAGACAGACAGACATACACACAGGCAGACAGACCCACAGGTAGCCCCACTCTCGCTCCCCCCCCCCCCCCCCGTTACACATGCGAATCATGTTATTCTCTTCTTTTGCACATGGCGCAAATTTCACTCGCCTTTTGCGAGTTCGCTGTTGAGTTTTATTGCGCGAAATACGTGGGGGTGAGAATGGGGTAAATGAGCGAATACAACAAGAGGAATAATCAGTGAGTGATGGGGGGGAACACAGCAATATTTAAAGGATGATTTTCACCCCAATATTGGATAAAACAGTCACTTTGGGGGGGGATCAATAATCGGATAATCGATTGGGATAATCGGTTTGCTTTGTGCGATCGATATTTTGCGTTCTATTGCGTTACTGATTCGCTAAATAATACAAATAATAATAATAACTAAGTTTTAAGATGAAATTGCAGTCTCTCTCTCTCTCACACACACAACACAGTGCGCATCAGGGTTACGTTAACCCACCTTGCGCGTTTTAACGAAAGTATTCGCTATTTCCTCGCACGTTTGCGGTCTCTCAGGGCGGAAACTTGCGCTGCTGATCAATGGCCATTAAACACCGAATTTCTCCCCCAATCTCTCTTATTCGGTGGCTCTTTTAAGGCATAACATATTTATGTTTTGGAGGTTAAAAAAAAAGTTCTATTAAATTTATATTTCAATTCGATTATATTGTCTCAACAAAAGGGGTCGATAGGAGTTTGAAGGGATGGAGAGTCGTTGGGGAGATGGAGGGGGTGGGGGGGGGTGGGGGGGGGTGGGGGGTTATTGAGAGATTCTTAATAAAATTATATATACTGTATTAAGAATTTGAGATGTCTCAACGATTGATAAGGCACTATATCAAATAGGATTATTATTATTATTATGTGTCTGTGTGTCTATTTGTGTGTGTATCTGCGTTTGTGTGTGTATATCTGTGTGTGTTTGTGTGTGAGGTGTGTGAGTATCTGTCTGTCTGTGTGTGTGTGTCTGTCTGTCTGTCTGTGTGTCTGTCTGTCTGTGTGTGTGTTTCTGTGTGTGTGTGTGTGTGTATCTGTGTGTGTGGTGTGTGTCTGTCTGTGTGTGTGTGTGTGTGTCTGTGTATGTGTGTATCTGTCTGTCTGTCTGTCTGTTTCTGTGTGTGTGTGTGTGTCTGTGTGTGTATCTGTCTGTCTGTCTGTCTGTGTGTGTGTGTTTCTGTGTGTGTGTGTCTCTGATCTGAACACACCCCGTGTCTCTCCCCTGCAGTGGCTTCTCCTCGGTGGTGGCTCTGGGAGCGAACATTATCTGCAGTAAGATTCCGGGCTTGGCGCCCCGTCAGCGGGCCATTTGTCAGAGCCGGCCGGACGCCATCATTGTCATCGGGGAAGGAGCTCAGTTGGGCATCAACGAGTGTCAGTTCCAGTTCCGTTACGGCCGCTGGAACTGCTCAGCGCTGGGCGAGAGGACCGTGTTCGGGAAAGAACTCCTCGTGGGTAAGATTTCACCCACAAAACGCACAGTCACTACACTTTACAGCATGTCCTGCGAAGCGCTTTGAGACGTCTCGAAGACGCGATGAGGCGCTCTGGCAAATGCAAGGATTATTATTATTATTATTATTATCATAAGATCAGGAAAAAACAGACTTTTTCCCCTCATTCCCTGCTTTTCCGGGAATAATAATCTCTTCGAAAAATAACAACAATAATAATTTGGTCGTTCAACCCACCACTGTTTTTGGGGACGCTGCTGTGTGCAATTGGCTGCCGCGTTTCGCCCACAAAATTTACGGACAATATCCTGCGAAGCGCTTTGAGACGTCTCGAAAACGTGTCAAATGCAAGGATTATTCCCATTATAAGGTCGGGAAAGAACACAGCCGCTTCTCTTGGGTAACAATCGCTTCAAGAAATAAGAATAATTTCGTCACTCAATCCACCACCGTGTGTGGGACGCTGCTGTGGCAAATTGGCTGCCCCGTTTCGCCCGCAAAATGCACAGTCACTACACTTCACAGCATATCCATTAGTCAGTTAACTGACTGTATTGCGTGGGCGAAACATGGCAGCCAATTGCGCACAGCAATATCCCATAAACAGTGGTGGATTGAGTGACTAAATTATTATTATTATTCCAGTGGGTGTGTGAGATTTGGTCCCAAAGCTGTAACTCTAACACGAACATACTGTAACATACACAAACGTACTGTTGGGAGTAAGTCGCTCGAGGGGTGAATATTTGGGTAATAGCTTCTCCTCCCCCTTCGCTAAGAAACAGGGGAGTTTAACCCCATTTAACCCAGAGCCCAGATAACCAGCTTCCCCACAGCTCTAACCCTAACCCCAACAGCGCGGCGTTTCCAAGTTACAACACACACTTTTTATCTGCATTTCCGCTGCGGAGCTTAATAAAATCACTGTCAATGACACTACTTGTCTGTGCTTTGGAAACTGCCGGCCACTATTGACTTTATGGGGGGAATTATCGCAGTTTATTTTATCAACTTCTGACTTCAAAGCACAGGGAAGGTGTAGTACTCACCATAAACAGCTGCACCCTCAACCTCACTATAAGTCTCCGCACTATCGTCTCACAGTGAGAGCTTGTGGGCACTACCTTACTTTGTGTTAGGTCACTGCGGTGTATCCCAATCACAGGGGTATCTGAGCAGTGCCCCCAATAGCGAGGCAATAAGATCAAAACTCAGTCGGGACTGTTAAGGCAACGCAGCAAAAGTGTGCATTATTCTCAGATCAACGGCCACAAATTGCATTGGGCTCTGCGTAAGTGAAGCCACGGCTCAGGAGGCTTCAGTTCCTGTCAATTTTCAGGTTAACTTCGTTACAGGTAACTTTGCAGGTTACCCGGTTAAATATTGACCAACGCATTGATCAGTCTTGTGACGCTACTTTGTCCAAGGACCGAAAACATTTCAGTTTTATCTATTTAAACATTGCCTTAAGAGTGCGAGAGACAATCAAAATAAGGAGTAATTAGTTAATAATAATAATCCGTGCATTTGATGTAGCACCTTATCGCATCGTCGGAACATCTCAAAGTGCTTCACACACTATATATATATTCCGAAGCGAATTGACTCGGTACATTTTAGGGGCGGAACTTAAAAAAAACTTTCGAAACGTAAAAAATCAAAAAGTGAATCCAGTGTATGTTTCGTGGACAAAATTCAACATTTTAAAGTGAATTAATTGGCCGCATGTTTTGTGTGGGGCGAAACTTAAAACGTTTTAAAAACTTTAAAGGTTTAAAACATCCATTGCGCGTGTACAAAATGGAATGAACTCCCAGGGCAGGTTGGATCCTGGATAATCGCATGATTTCCGTCAAACTTCAGCCGTGGACGGCGATTGTTGACTTAAAAAAAAAATCGATGATAAAATCACTGATATAATCTGATGTTGTGATATAAATCAATAAGTCATTTCTTGACTTCTCAAATCTCCCTCAGTTTCCTGTAAGGTGTCACCGTGACCCGCTGTTAGAGGGGAAGTATTTGTGTGTGTTTTTTTGATCAATACAATATTTACTATCGTCATTAATTCAAGTTGCTTGTCCCAGATTTGAATGGAAACCACCAAGTGGGCTTTGTTGGGATTTTAAATTAGTATATATATATTTTTTTTGGAGACTTGATGTGTCTCAAAGTTCATATCCATTTTTTTTATTGTTTAAAAAAAACCAAATAAATCCACGACTGTTTGTGGGACACTCGCTGCTGGGCGCAAGTTGACTTAACGCGATTCACCCACAAAATATACAGTCACTCCACTTCGCAGTGTTGCCTGCGAAGCGCTTTGAGACGTCTCGGAAGACGTAGATCGAATGCAAAGATTATTATTATTTTTGCCCGGGTTTTTTTTTTGGGGTGGGGGGAGGGAATAAGGGAGAGAGAGGGAGAGAGAGGGAGGGAGGGAGAGAGGGCAGGGAATTGGGATGAGAGTGAGGATCCTCAGTGAGGGACGGGCACTGTATATCAGCGGGTGCCACTCACACTTGCCGTGCGGTTGGTTGTGACGGCAGGGAGCAGGGAAGCGGCTTTCACCTACGCTATCATCGCGGCCGGAGTGGCCCACGCCATCACGGCGGCCTGCACCCAGGGCAAGCTGGGAGACTGCGGCTGCGACAAGGAGAAGCAAGGCAGCTACAACCAGAAGGAGGGCTGGAAGTGGGGGGGCTGCTCAGCCGACATCAGGTACGGGATCGGCTTCTCCAAGGTCTTCGTGGATGCCAGAGAGATCAAGCAGAACGCCAGGACCCTGATGAACCTGCACAACAACGAAGCCGGGCGCAAGGTAAGCATGACCCCCGGAATTTCTGGGCGTAGTGACTGAAAGCTGAAACCGAATATAAGTGGCTGATATAGAACTGCCTTAACCCAGCAAATGTTGGCGGTGAGGTATTGTTGGATTCTGTGAGTTGTCAGGTGTCTGTCATTTCAACCTCAGGGGTTGGCAGAAAGTCAAAGATTGTACATTTGCTGACATCTCAGCTGAAATGGGTTTAGAAGGGAGTCTTTGGAGTAACCTGATTCTCGTCTCTGGTTTGCTGCACGCTGCTCCTGTGCACCGATTGAGAGACAGCTCGATGGTGTACTGGGGAGAGCGTAGGGTGTGTACACTGGCAGGTTTGAGATCAAACAGGACGAAGGGCGTTTTTCACCCCAGCCTCTCCTGCCATCGATCTGTTGATTTATTCCTATTGCCGTTGACCGACTCACATACTGTTGAGAAAATTATTTGGGCTAATTTACGGTATTTGCAAACTGGATTTGTTGCGTTAATCCCCAAACCCACAGTGAAATATGCAACCAGTGCTTTGCGAATCCAAATCTATGAAAATGGCTTTGGCGGCCCCGCTTCGCCCGCAAAATACACTACACTTCACAGCATAAACAATGTTTGCCCCACCCGTTGGCGACCCACTGTATCTCCCTCGTGTGGGGCCTGGTTTTGGACTTCATTCAATGAAGATTCCTGATTCATGAGCAGATTTTGCCGGGGGAAACCTTTGAAAATGAACACAACAAATCCAGTTTGAAAATATCGTAAATTAGCCCAAGATGTCCATTCCCCCCATTCCCAACATAAGACGAAAAAAAGCAAGGTCCACCTAGTTCGCGGTCACTCGCACGTATGTTCCGAACTCCCTATGTGCTATATACAACAACAACAGCATAAACTTCACAGCAGTTATAAATCCAAGTTGTTGTTGTTGTTGTTGCCGCTATATCCCATAATGTTATTTCCCAAAAGAAATCTATCTAATCTGGGTTTGAAGGAATCAACACTGCCAACATCTCCCGAGGGAGCCTTCCTCACTCCCTTCGTCTCGCTCCCTCCCTTCCCATTTTCAGGTCTCTGCTGAAGACCTTTTCGACCGCGCCTTTGGTCACCTTCCCCTCCCCCTAGCTCGACCCCGGGATCCGTGACTGTAAAGCGCTCTGAGACGCCATCCGGGGTGGAGGGCACTATATAAACCCAAGTTGTTGTTGTTGTTGTAAAGCTCCTCATGTTTTACCTCTCTGCCTAGATCCTGGAGAGGAACATGCCGTTGGAATGCAAGTGTCACGGGGTCTCAGGGTCGTGCACCACCAAAACCTGCTGGACCACCCTCCCCAAATTTAGGGAGCTGGGCTATGTCCTGAAGGACAAATACAATGAGGCTGTGCAAGTGGAGCCGGTGAAGACAAACCGCAACAAGAGGCCGGCCTTCCTGAAGATCAAGAAGCCCATGTCCTACCGCAAGCCCATGGGGACTGACTTGGTGTACATAGAGAGGTCTCCCAACTACTGCGAGGAGGACCCCATCACTGGCAGCGTCGGGACCCAGGGGCGGATGTGCAACAAGACGTCCCTGCAGAATAACAGCTGTGACTTGATGTGCTGTGGCCGAGGCTACAACACTCACCAGTACTCCAGGATCTGGCAGTGTAACTGCAAGTTCCATTGGTGCTGTTACGTCAAGTGCAACACCTGTAGCGAAAGGACTGAAGTCTACACGTGTAAGTGAGAGTGAAGCCTCTGCGCTCTCCCCCGGGGCCTGAGAGAGACTCACACCCTCCACCCATTGGCGTGGGGGTGGGGGGGGGTGGGGGTAAAGAGACTGATTGCACACCGTTTGCACAAGTGTCTCGACCTGACTGACTAACTGACTGACTGATGGACGGACGAGAGTTGGCTCAAATTGACCCCCACCCCCCACCTCGTCGCCCTTCGATCGAATTTCAAAAAAAGGTTCGTCCCCGATAAAACGTCACCGCGTCTTTTTGGAGTTTCGAATGGATTACAAAGGAAAACAAACAAGAAAACAAACAAACAAACAAACAAACAACCCCCTAAACTCCACCATCTCGTAAATCAGCCGCACAGAATTCACAACACTTCAAACCGACGTTTCACTTGACGCGTAGCTGGCGAAGAGAAATCCAGAGCGAAAGAAGCGTCGGAACAGCCCAGGGAGGGTAACTTGGCTCGAAGCGTGTGGGGTGGGGGAGCGAAACCCTCTCCCCTCCCCCTCCCACCCCTCTCCGCAACCCCCCACCCCCCCCCTCCCCAAGCCTTTAAATACAGACTATAAAGAGGACAAAGTGCCTTGGAGAGTTCTGCCTTTGAGTGTGGATTATGCAGATTTAAGTCTGTGTGTTGGTGAAAAGCCTTCATTTCTCTTGCCAGTTGGAAGTCACTTACATCAAGCCTCATTGCTTCCCATTTCCCACAGACATTGATTTCCCTGCTTTTCCTGCGTGCTTTCGCAGCTGTTAAGAACACCATGGTGGATAGGAGAGAGAGGGAGGGGGAGGGAGGGAGGCAGAGGGAGGAGGGGAAGTGTGTCATTTGGATACAAAGCTTGACTGTACATTAAATAAATAGTAATGGCAATATTTAACAATATATTTAGAGAGGAAGAAAAAAAACTAATATTAATTTATTTTTTAAAAAAAAGTACTTTTGACTGACATTTGGGACAATTCCACAGAGCGAGAGAGAGCGAGAGAGAGCGAGAGAAAGAAAGACGACTTTCTTGCCGAGGTGATTTCTGTTGGATGCAGAGAGGACCGGGATTGCTGGGCTGTGTATAATAGGGTTTTGTTCAGAGAAGAGCTGAGTTCTCACACGTGAACGTGAGCGAGCAAGGCTTTCTCCTGATAAAAGCAAGTCTTTTTTGTGTGTGTAAATCTTTCTGCTGTTAGTTTGTTGTCTGGAAGAAGAACAAACCGTTTGCGATGGGTCGGTGTGAACTGCTGTAAAACCCCTTTTCCTCCCGCACCCCTGCCACTGCAAACCTTTCCACTAATTATAAACCATTCGGACTTGTTAGAATATAAAATTTGAGGCCACGAAATTCCACCGGATTTTAGCCTGGGAGACCACTTTATCTTACATTCTGAGGCGACCTGCGAAAAATATTAGCAGCCTTAATTTGGAAGCTATGTTTCCGGACTTTTTAATAAGAAGTGTCCCCAATTCTGCTGGCCGTTCTTAAACTCTGAAGCTATTTTTTAAGGTGGGCGGTAATTCCATTCAGCATTACACCTTTGGTGAAAGGCCATCATTGCCAAAGGCTATATGTGGAAACCCGCAGTGCGGTGGTTGGAGCACTCGCCTCGCGAGCGAGAGGACCAGGTTTCGATTCCCGGGCAGGGTGAAACCTGAGGCAGCTTTCCTTATTCCACACACACGCTTCTGTTCACCCAACAGTAAGTAGGAACCCGGTTGTTAGTCGATTGGCAGCTTGTTTTCTGGGCGTAATAATCCCGCTAAAAAAAATGTGGTCACTCAATCCCCAACTGTTTGTGGGACACTGCTGTACTATTGGCTGCCACATTTTGCCTATAAAATATACAGTCACTCCACTTTACAATATATCCTGTGAAGCGCTTTGAGCCATCTCAACCGTGTAACAAGGCGCTATATCAAATGCAAGGATTATTATTATTATGTGTGTAATGCTGAACGGAACCTGTGGGTTTCACAGGCTGAGACTAAGTGGAATTTCGGAGCTCCGATACCCAGACAAACCCCATTCCGTGGGGGAAAAAAAAACATAGGTTAAGAGAATATATTTTGTAAGAGACTATTTTTATATGAATTTTATTTATACTTGTTTCTGCTTGTATAACTCTATAACCCGTACTTTTCTCAAAAAAAAACAGGCATTAAAGGTGTGATTTACTTGTAATAGATACAAAGGAATTCACAAACGTTAAAAATGGTTAACTGACTGATAAACATAGGGAGTTGCAGAAATTCAGATCCGAAAAGTTAGACATGTCAAAAAAACTCGATATATTTCTTTGATTTAGGTGTGTATGTGTGTATCTGTGTGTGTCTGTGTATTTGCGCCTATGTGTATATTTATGAGTGTGTATATATATTTCTGTGTGTGTTGTTCTCTGCGTGTATTTCTGTGTGCATTTGTGTGTCCGTGTGCATCTGTTTGTGTGTGTATTTGTGTGCGTTTGTGCGTGAAGATACAGATTGGCAAAAGTGCAAATTATCTAAAAATTGGGCCGAATTCATAATCAGAATTAACACGATACGCGTGTAATCCTTTGAAAGAGAGACAGGTTTTTTTTCTCTGGGAAATTGCTTCTCTCGTACGACAGTCATTTAAGCAGCGAGATCGGGACCAGCAAATGTGCTGTGTGTGCTGGCAGATAATGCTTCATATTGTGAAAGTGTCAGATTGATTCCGTCACTGCCTTCGTATAGACTGCGACTGTATAAACTCGCCCTGTGCTCACTGTCTGATTCCCACAGATAACAGACAGAACTGCTATCTATATAAACAGTGGCTGGTTTAACACTGCCAACCCCCCCTCCACCACACACACCCCCACCCTCTCCCCCCCCACCCCCCCACCACACACACACCTTTTGTCAAGATCGCTGGGAATTCAAGAATGTTTCACCACCAACAAAACACACTCACACCTTTCACCACTTGACAACACAGGTGAATTTAATATTCTTGTGCTATATTCAATGGCACAATGCTCATCTGTCTATCAGCCTTTAAAATCTCCGCAGTATTATACCACTGAGATCCAGGGTTAACAAAACAAGCTGTAGATTATGCGAGCGCCAAAGCACGCTGGTCAAAAAAACAGCCGAGGCGATTCTAAACCGCTGACTTAGCTAAAACCTCCTATACACAACACGCTCAACACAAACTAGCGGCCACTCGGAACGGGGGGGGGGGTCTAGTTCTCAGCTTGTCAATCTGCCTCAGAGGAAGAAGAAAGACTTGGGCTGTTTATAGGGCCTATAAAGTCGAAAGGTTTCAAAGTAATTAGTCGACACAGTGGCTCTTTTTTGTAGGCAGAGGACGCAGAAATAAAGACAGTGTTGGACAGATTTCAGCCCGTGGTCTTCACTATAATAAATTGGTAAAAGCTTCGTGCAGGTTATGTCAATGTGTATGATACCATCTGATCCCCTAAACAAAGAGCAAAGAGAGAAGAGAGAGATTGGATTGTAATTGTTTGCTGACTCTAGCCTCCTAAAGTCCTGCCTTTTCAATCACGTTTTTGGTCTCCTGACCACACTGTTCACTCCGCGTCTCTGTCTCTGTGAAACGCTTTTGAGGTGTTATCCTTCATATGAAAGATGAGGTATAAGTGTGAGTTATCGTTTGAAAGGAAAGCACCGCCTTACTTGGCCGATAGCTACATCGATAATAAGCCTTGCATTTGCTACGCCACCTTAATGCTGCAACATCTCAAAGCGCTTCGCAGGTAACTGCTGTCTCGTCAAGTGTAGTGAGTGTGTACTTGTAAAGAAACGACGCCCTCAATTTATGCACCACAAGATCGCAGCAACAGCCTTGAAGCGAATGACTAATTTTAGTTGGAGGATTGTTGGCCAACAATAATAATAATAATCCTTAAATTTAATGTAGTGCCTTATCACGTCGTCGAGACGTCTCAAAGCGCTTCACAGGATATACTGTGTAGTGGATTGACTGTGTATTTTGTGGGCGAAACGCGGCAGCCAGTTGCGTACAGCAGCGTCCCCACAAACAGACGTGGAATGAGCGACCACATTTTTTCGTTTGCCCAGAGAAACCCCCTTTGTCGTCGCCGTTCGTGTGGTGGGATCTTTAACACCCGCCCAAACTGGCACAGACGGGGCCTTGGTTCCATGTCTCATCTGAAGGACGTATGGTTGCAAGGATTCCTAACCCGGTATCGCTTGCTGCGTTCGAAGCACTTGTTTCCATTGCAGATGGAGCATTCATCAATCTCATAACCTGCAGACTTTCAAACAAGTCAGGACAAGTGCCTATAACTCGCTAAAGACTAATCTCTTGCTGTTTTTATGCTGATTATTTCCCTTCGAATTTTTCTGTTACGTGACAGACACCAATTTTTTACCTTTGTACCGAAGAGTTGCCTGGTTTAACCCTTAAACTTGGCATCAAACTAAGTCAATCAATATCGGTCTCTAATTCGAGTCGTTCCTTTCCAAATAAAATCTAGTTGACAACGTGGATGGAATACATGGTTAGCACCAAGATGAAACGTCTAATTGTGGAATCGAGCAGATTTGGGAGCCTCCTCCCCAAGCGATGTGGTGTGTTTGTGCAGGCACGACGGGTTAGGACAGACTCGCCTCCAGACAAAGCAAGCCCTGACTGACTTGTGATCAGTTCTCTCGTTCATTCTGTAGCTCTCTCGGCAAGGGAGGGAAGGGAGGGGGGTGCGAAACATGCAGCGTTTAACACGCAACATGGTACCGTGTAAAGAACAGGGGGAGGGAGGGGGGCAAAATATCGCAAGTGTCCACTGTGATCAGCTTGCCGTGAACGTCATTCCGAGATGTGGTTGGACATGGGGAGGGGAGGGGTAATGACCCAATGATAGATTGCTCTTGCCTCAGTCTGCCACACTGTGACATCTCTTTTATTCAAAGCCCCGGCCGCAAGTTGCTACAGAAACGCCCAAAACACTTTAGAAAAGGGTTGCCAGGCCGTTGAGGGAGTCCCGACGACACGTTGGCAAAATGTTCACTATCAAACAACTAAACAGCCCGGCTCCGCCTTTTGTCCCGAAAGTCTAACGTCTCGGGGCGATCGGCAGGGAGAGAAAAGAAGAGACAAATTGCACCAGCCAATTGCCCTCTCCTCCACAGGCCCCCAAATTCCACCCGGTCTCAGCCCCCTGTCACACGGTTTTCTCTTCAATTCGAACAGCGCGCACAATTGTGGAAAGTTCCCCAAATCCGTCTTAGTTCACAAACCGTGGTCTTTTTTCCGTTAAGATATGCGGAATTACCGGCTCCCACATTAAGACTGGGTTTACTAATTTAATAACGATAATAATAATAATCCTAGCATTTCATATAGCGCCTTATCACGTCGTCGAGACTTTTCAAAGAGCTTCAAAGAATATATTGTAAAGTGGAGTGACTGTGTGTTTTGAGGGCAAAACGCAGCAGCCAATTATAATAATAATAATTGCGCACAGCAGTGTCCCA